ACGGAATGGGAATTAGAGCTGGGTTTTTGTAAGACTTGCACAACTTCTTGGCTCGTGTGATAAAGACCGTTGCTTGTGCTTGACAAAGCAAATCATAACTCAGACCCGTTCCCCTGCCTCCTGCTGCCCTCTCTTTCCCAGGCCTGGCAGGGTGTTTATTAGTTGTCCTTTATCCCAGGGATGAAGGGACAAAGCTCCCAGCCTAGGGACAAAGCTGAGGTCCAGCTCTCCCATGGCAGGTCCATCTCAGAAGGCCACAGCCTTCAACTTCCCCCTGGCAGGCAGATGAGCAAGGCTGGACTGACACCACCACCCATGGTGGCCCTTCCCCATTAATGGTCTTTTGGGGGGTGGTTCTGTCCTTCCACCCTTCTCTTCAGGGCCGGTAGAGGATGGAGGCAGGGGCAGAAGGGTTGAAGAGCCAGTGGCTGGTTCAGTAGCACGCAACCCAGTTTGAAATGTTTCAAAGCACGCTACAGATCTGCCCGGAGATCTTGGGGAAGATCTGTGCCCACAGTCGGCTTTCTCCAGTTTCCTGCTCTGCAAAGCTTACAGGCCAAGAAATTGTCAGATTGCCTTACAAACAAACAAAAGGCCCCGAGGACAATGTTTAGATGTTTGTCCTCTTGGGTTTCTGGGTGAGTTATGCAAAGTGTGGGAGGAACGGGATAAAATGTAACCTCACTTGCTTCCTGCAGTCCAGCTAACTCCCGTGGCAGGGCTTACAGAAAAAAAGGAATCAAATATTGGTGATGATGTCACCTAGCAGCATCGGGGGTGTGCGTGTGTCTCTGAAGCAGTTACCCCGTATTTGTGTTGCTTGGTCCCACAGAAATTGAGGGATGCTTTTCTGCCTGGTCCCCGGGGAATGGGTTGCGTTTAAGCTGACTTAATATTGACAGTTTGCAGGGATGCTTTTGTGCACAAACATACCACAGGCTTCACAAATAACCTAGGCAGGTTTTTCTAAACCTGCTAAAAATGGAAAACCCAACAAACTGCTGTGCATCTTCCTTAGGAGGGGACAGCCTGCTCAGGAATGTCCCTGCCGTACGCTCCACGACATGCACGCATGGCATGCCGCTTACTGCTGGGCTCCTCGGCTCTCCAACAACGCACGCGTGGCAGAGGGGCGAGTGGGAATTGTCCAACCTTGCTGTTTAAACTGCTGTGAAATTCAGACTCTGGTTTTGGTTGAAATATTTGCCATTTTTGCATAAGCTAGAAGACGATTTCCAGAGGTGGTGATGATTTGTAAGTCATTCAATGGTTGAGAATATAGAAATCTCAAGATGTTTGTATTTTAAGTGTCTCCAGAGAACTTCAAACCCAGCAAATAACACAGAAACAGCCTGGGATGAAGTGTTTTCTTGAACGCCACGTGCCGTAGGGCAGTTCTGCTTTCTGCACGGTGAGCAGCGGAGAGCCCAGGCTGTGGCACTGGCAGCCTCTCCCAGTGCTGAACGTGAGGATGTCATCAAGGTGCCTGTTGCCTAGCAGACAAAGATGGCATTTTAAGACAAATATTCATCATTTTAACTGCTCCTTGCGCTATTCTTCACCGCCTTGGGAAGCAGTACCATTGCTGGCAACGTTTGTTCCAGTTGTTCCAGTTACGTTGTGAGGGGCTGCCTGGCCTCCCTCAGTGCTTGCTCGTGCCCCGGGTGGTGCAGGCAGTGTGTACCAGGCATGGTGGTGCTACTGCAGAGGTAGCTCTGCTTGTGACCGAAGGAGAAGCAGTCCTGTGAGCATCCTGGGGACAGGCTGCTATGCCTGAAGAGGCACCATTAGGCACCGTGTCCTTCATTAGGACTGATGCTGCCCTGGTGATAGCAGAGTCTCCTCTGTCTGTCACTGGTCAGTGGGGACCATCCTACTCTACGTGGGATGCCGTCTTGCTCGCTGAGGGGTTTCCAGTCTTCTGCTGTGTTTGCTCTGTGTCTAAGGTTGCTAAAAGTCTTGAGAGCTTTTCCCATCTGTCATGTGAAGGAACCTATTCCCAGCTGTTTCCATAGCAGTAGAGATGCAGGCTGTCATTTGCAGTAAGAGCTCATGGGGTTCTGGGATGTGGTAGGGGCTCCTACCCTAACGCTGGGGCATTGGTTTTGAGCCCCAGGAGGAAGTACCTTTCATCTTGAAAGGTTCACTGGAGCACTGCCGAGTACCCTGTGGAAAATGCTGCAGCTCTTGAATCTTTGTGGCCCAGCACCATTTGTCCCTTCTCTCTTTGCAGTAACAAGCTTGAGGGAACTCTGCTGAGCCTAGTCTCAAGCAGCAAACTCTTGCTCTGATGGCCTTTCCATGGAGATGTCTGTGGTGCTCTCTGACTTGGGAGGTAGCCCGTTTCATTTCCACTTTTCAAACATCCACTTGGTCCAAGTGCCAGTATTTACATGATGAGCCTGGTGTTCCAGCCCCACGCTCGGTGTGTGCCCTGGCCAGATTCCAGGTTGGCCAATGCTGTGCACGTGCTCTTTCAGCGTGCCCTGGCCATCATCCTCTGTTACCATGGGGGTCTCTTGAACAGCGTACGTGTCACGAAGGTGAAGTGACCCTGCTTCCCCTTTTAGCTAATGCCTTCAGCTCCCACGCCCAGTGTCACTGCCATGTCTCCCCATGCGGCCACGTCTCCCCATGTCCTTTCGCAGCTCCTTTCAGAACAAATCCCAAATCCCTGGCCACGCCATTCCTCTGCGTCTCACTTGTCTTGGTGTGGCTTTGATCCTGAAATCAAGGGATGCGCTGGTCTTCCCTTCATCAAGCACAGGGCAGTTGTCTCTTCCACAGCCACCTCACAGACTTCTCCTCCATCCTAAACCTCAATTCGGCCTTGCCTGTCTCAGCCCACATCATTGCTCATCTTCACTGCGCTAGTGTGCTCTTCATGCTCTTCCTTCTGTTCTCTGGATGTTTGTAGGCAAAAGAGCCTGGAGAAGATCCTTTCTTTTTGCTGAAAATGAAGGGTCATTTCAAATTTATTTCCCTATCAGGCAGGTTCTGAGGAACATCTTGTCATACAGGCTCTTTTGGAAAGCCAGAAAGGTGGAGCTATTTGTTCAGCAGCAGGAAAATCAATCAATCAGACAAACTGTTGGAGATTTCTGGAAGAGCAGCAACAAGGGCTGCTCAGAAACTCCACTGCTTGGCAGTCCCCACCAGCAGAAGAGGAGTAAATGCCTCTTGTTCTTGTTGGGTTCTCTTCCATCTGCTTCAGCTACCTGTAACAGGCCTTTCGTGTTGGTGCTCTGTGTGTACAACCCTGGTCATTTCTGTGGAAATCTGGAGCCCTGGTCCCTCTGTACACTGCTGACCCACCCCCCCCCCTTAAAAAAAAAACAAAAAACCAACCCTAAGAAAGAGGCATTTTGGTCATATTCATTTGCACACAGCAGCAAATGCTAAAGGTCTTCTGAGACTGCTCTTAAAGCCATTTTTCCAAGCTACTGATGCCGTAGTGTAGGGAGAGCTTGGAAGGGGACCATGCAGTCCCTCCCCAGGTTCTTAAAACTGAACGGTAATATGGAAAAAGTGGAAGCAGCTTTGCCAACTGTTTCCACCGTGCTGGTTACCATCAATGGGAGACAACGTTGATTAAACACCCCTCCCTTCACACTGCAGTGTAGTCTCGCATGATGTCCCCACACTTTCAGGTGTGGATTTACCGTAGGCACTGAAGGGTAGCGAGCCACCCGCCTCCCCAGTGCCAGCACAGTTTCGCTGTATATCTGCCCGTGCCAGCGTTCCTAATCTTGTGACCTGCTAATGGCCAAAGTGTGTCTCCCCCCTTCCACTTTGCACCATATCTGCTTTGCCCATGCACATAGACAAAGGAGAACAGGGAGAAACTGGGGAACCCCCTGCCCAGAGAGGATGTCTAAACTGCTGCTCTGCAAGTATCTGGCCTGGTGGTGTAGCAGCATTCACCTTCAAGCTACACAAGTGCTGCAAGTGCTACAGCAGCCCTTCAGCCGGCACCCGGGGGCAGCAGGAACACCAGGCTCCCTAATGCCGGCTCCACCAGACCAATGACAGACATGTGCTGTGGGAACTAGGTCCCACTTACCACAGCCCGGTGGGCAGGGCACTTCCACAGACACTGGGAGATACAGCTTCATGTCCCCTGTCCACAGGCACTGGGATGTATCTTCAGGTCCCACCGCAAAGAAGAAACTAGCCCATGCACTCTCACTGGGAGATGTTTCTAACCACCAGGCGAGTGAGGGAAATGCAGCCTCTCCCAGGGATTAATTTTCTCATCCTACTCTGGCTTTTAGCAGGGCAGATACTTCCCAGTGGTTCTGGGTTTGACCACAGCTCTGAAGAGCATGAGCTCATCTATTCCTCAGTATGATGGCACAGACATACGATGCAGTTCCTTCCAAACTCACATACAAAACCTTTGTTGCTGCTTGACTTCCAATGTTTCTCGCTGTAATGGCTGCCCAAGTGACAGTGTTACCCACTCTGTTAACCTGGGGGTCACTGCCCTGCTCTGGCTCGGTATAATGTGGTGCGAACGTAACTTAGCAGCCTCACCACCGAGGCCAGCATTCACCAATGTCCCTCAGGGCCACAGTGCTCAATGCCATCAGTCTGCACCCTAGTTCTTTGCTCAAGCCACAAGAGTTTGTCATGAAGGAGAATATTCCCTTGTTCCCTATCCCAACCTGTCTCTCCAGACAGTTTGAGGTGGCCTTGTCTTGCCTCTTCTTTTAGTGCATACAGCAGGATGGTGCTGCTCTGCGTGTGCACAGCTAGGGATGGAGGAAAGGAAAGTAATGCCTAAATCAAGCCTAGAAGCTGACACGGATTAGTGTCTGCTCACGTAAAGATGCACATAAGTCCATTACTGGTGGGTCCCTGTAGACGAAGGTATCTATTTACACAGCAGCTGCATGAGCTCTCTGCCAGTCAGGGCAGTCACATTTTCCCAGTGCCTCGCCAGTGACCGGTAATGACCACACTGAGCACTGCTGGCGAGGAAAGATTAACCACACTGCAACAGGCCGGGCTTGATACATTTTATTGGCAATACCAGTGTCATACTCTGGAACCACAACCCTTTGTCAGCCTGTTAGTGTTAACTTGCATGACAAGTATCAGTGACCAACTGTATTTGAAATATAGTTAAAGTGCCTAGAAATAATAGGCATCTTAAAAAAAAGGAAACTCATTCCATCCACTCAAGCCAACCTTTATAGATCCTACATCTTAAGCACAACTGATGTACTGTAATTGTTATGTGGACTTTAATGTAACCTCTACAGCAGCACACAGACAATGCAGTTCTCTCATTATGCACATGCTTTAGGATCGTTTATTTTAATGCTTTCAAATAAATATGTTCCATGCAGCACACCGCAATAAATAAGGAGCAGCAACTTTCGTATAGTACATCCATTCATAATGTAAGTCACCATGTGAAACACCACATCTAACGTCTTTGGCCCAGTCCCATACAGTGAAGCACACCACATCTGCACATAATCATATCTGGCTTCATATGGATTTAATAGGACTATGCCAGAAGGGCAACGTGAGCACAAGTTTAACCAGGGGTTCCTAGCTATTAAATACAGCTACTAAGTAGTTAAAAGGCAACAACTAAACCCATAAAGGGTTGATTTGTCTTTTCTTTCTTACTTTTCAGACAGAAATATAAAGTATGAAAATGCTCTGGATATTTTCAGCCTTGTGTAAAGCAGTGTGATTAATACGGAATGCTTTGAGCAATAGTGGCATGTACACTGGCATCAAAAGCCACAGCAAGACCGACTCTGACACTGAACACCAGCGTGCTTGGTGAGGGAAAGCTGCTGTTCCGGTGACGGCGGGCGCTGCTCCTTCTCCTCCCCTAGGCCGACAGCTCCACCGCCCCTTCCTCTTCGCTGTCTGCTCGGTTGGCGCGGATTTCCACCAGGGTCCGAGCGAAGCGGGTCCATTCATCGTTGTGCGGAACGGCCAGCTGGGGAAGAAACAGACAGTGGATTAAGAGACCGTGTGGGGAAGGCGGTTATCTCTCTGACCCCAAATGGAGGCACCTCCTTTGAGGAGAGCTCCTGTCGCGATCGGTGCGGTTGCAGCTTCCTGCGCAGTGCCGGCTGGAAGGAGCTTTTATGGAAAGTGTCAGAGGAAAAAAGCTTTATCATCTGCTTGATTTTAAGGCAAAGTATTTTGTTGGAGTGTTGTTGCAAAATCAACCCCTTTTTGTTAAAATATTTCACATTTTCCAAACTGAAGCGAGGCCTTGATCTCTACAAATATATGCACGTATGTTTAACTTTACACATGTGAACTGCCCATCTGAAGTCAGCAAGGCTGTGCCCAAGCGTAATTGTTTGCAGGACCGAGGTCAATGTGTGCAAGGTAACAGAGCTTTTACAACACTGTATTGAAACTATTTTCCTGAAGTTCATTAAAGCTCTTAATAGTAAAATAAATATATTGTGTTATTTTAGTTACCCTCCCCTATGTGAAGGAATTCACAATTACAAGAAATGTATTACAATCGAAATGTTATACCAACTGGATACTGCATTACTGGCCTCATTTTTTATATGCTCATGCAATATCCATTTCCATTTAATACCATTGATGTTTCTAATGAAGAGCTCTTGAACATTAGGCTTCAAGAGGGACGTGTAATCTAAATAGCTAAGCTTCCGGATAGAACGCTTCAGTGCTATGGCAAAATAATACTGCAGTCATTTTCAGCTGGATCCAACACTGCAATTTCTGGAAGATAATGCAAGCTGGGATTGAGATAATTAAACAAAAAAAAAAAAAAGGGTGGGGGGGGGGGGGGGACAGGTTTCTCAAACTTTGGTTTCATTAACTCAAATTCCAGAAAACAGCAACAAGCATCCAGTTGAACCATGCACATTTTTACTGCCCTCTTGAAGCCCTGTGATCATGTCCTGAACATAATATGAAAAAGTAACTGTTTGAAGATATTATGCAGTGCTTGGTGCTGAAGAAGGCAACTGTTTGGAAACTCCAGGGCATAATAAACTGCTGTCCACCTTAGCAAACGGATGCCTTTAGACTAACAAATGAGTATGACCTTAGCTAATCCCAGTATTCAATCTGTACTGACTGACTTCTTTTAAAACACCACCAAAAATGCCATGCAGAAGGCTGGCTAACTACGGCCATTTGGCACCACCAGATTGGAGGTGCACACTGGGGGCTGTATGGTACGCTGTACTGGAATACAGTCAAATTATTCTCCTCTCCTTACATCCCAGGAGGAACACACGTAACTGCAGACCAAGAAAAGGATCTATTACATGAACTAGCATGCCCAGCTGGGGCAAGAGCTTGTGTGCATGCCCAATGTTAACCACGTGTGAAAGCTCCATGTACGCTGCTTCAAGTTCAGTGTTAATCGGATGGACAGGAATTTGCAATACTGGATCTAAACATCTCCTCCGTATCTCACTGGCGCCAAAGAGTTTTTCAACTATTTTGTATCTAGCTTCGCCTCTACGTCCAATATTCTGGAGAAAAACATAGCGTGTGTTTTAAAGCTTCCCATGTATAGTGCATATATCAGTGACACTGTTACATTATGAAGGGCTGGTGTACAGCAAGTTTGCTTTTTGCCTATTGAAACACTGAATACAGTACAGTTCAGCATTTACTGAGGCTACAGACTTGAGAAATGCAATCTGTGTGAAAGGCGTCTCAGCCCTCTATAATAGGTGCGCTCTCTGGGTTTTACCTTGTCATCCACTGCATTTTTCTCCTTTACTTTTCGCAGGAATGGAGACCAGAATTACAGGAGTAAATGCTTTAAGACAGCTGTCTCTCACGCTCACATGCACGTATGTGGATCTGTTATGGTCTTTATTTGAAAGACAGCTCTGTTCTTTCAAACCTTCAGCAGAAGGCAATGTAACACCAGAATGGAGGTCAGTGCACCAACACACAAGTACCAGTAGCACAGGTTTGGTCACAGTCACACACCTATATGAGCTACTGTACAGTGAGTTAAGTGACGGTGCAGAGATCCTTCTACCATAGCTGCAACCACAAGCAGCTGTGTAACAACTTCCCTGTTACTATTGCTTGTGTCCTAAAAGATTTTACTTCTTGTGATGTGTACGGCACTATCATTTATCAAACTCTTGAATGAAAACATGAAATGAGTCTCACTTATTTCAAGTAGTAACATCATTAAAGTGGAGCAATATCCTATGCAAAGGACTTACTGAATTTAATAAAGCCTCATTTCTCCTTGTCTTTTAAAGTCCTAAACAGCATTACATTCTATTAAATGGCTGAAGAAGACAATATGTCATTCTAAGTAAAAATATTTAAATATATTTATGACATTGAGATAATTTAATTTCCTTTACTCCACAGCATAGCCACAGACAAATAAAATCCAAGTCCGGACTATTAAAACAACTTTGTATTGCAAACTTGAAGATTCTCCCCACAAATGTATGCATTACATGCATTATGTTAGCTGCCAGTGTTAGCAAGACCTGGGCCGTTTTTAATAACTCAATTCACAAACCAATTAATGATTGAAGTGAATACCTTTAGCACAGAGATGAAAACATTCAGTGCCCACACACAATCTAATTACTTAGAACTTTGTCTTATTTTACCTTATTTACTCTCACACACTGCATCATGCTTTCAACGAGGGGCCAATCCTGCTAATAGGCTGTTAGTAGAATAAACCTCTCTAATATAAATTCCTCAGGGATGCAGAGGGAAACCTTGGCAATAATGAAGTCAAAGGAAAAACTAATTTTTATTCCCCCCCCTTCTCTCTGTGAAGGCCCTAAAATCAAATCACAATAGTTATACAGCAAAAGACCACAAATAAAACCAAAAGTATCCACAAACTCCAATTCAAATTCTTGTCTGAATTAATGGTCCCCTTCCAGCCATTTTCCATTCAAGTTCCTTCAGCTGGGCACAATGACACCCACAAGTGTTGGAGGCCTGGGTCTAACTGTGGAATCTCCCTTTCAGCTTCTATGCACAAGTTTTTTTTCTGTGAATACCAGGGCACGGGGGGAAGAAATGAGGAGATTCTTCACCGATGGGCAGAGGTTTAGAGCTGTTTGGGGGTTCCTCACTCATTTGGCATTTTTGCCATTTTCTGTCCACTTTTGTTACTACAAAGTAGGACGTGTTGAGTCCCAGGAGTGCTGATGTTGACACAGGGTAGAAATGTTCACCAAAGCATAATAACTTAATATAATAACTTAGATTAACATTTGGGTCAGAAGGTTATTTGAATGAACTGACACTAAGGTATGGAGCAGAACAAGAAAATAAATGCTATTAAGTGTTCTCCTTTGATCCCTTCACAATGGAAGGTAAGTGCTACCCGCACCTAATTAATTGACTGAATTACTCACACTGCTTTAACTTAAATACCATGGTACATTTAGGTTGCGTCAGATAGTAATTCTAATGAGGAAAACCAGTATTCTCAAAGCAAAGTGGTGACTTTAGCCAAACTTTGTCTGTTAAGTTGTTGGAAGAGGGGTACTTTTGTCATCTGTCTGGCTTTCAAAATATCAGAAGTTCAGGCTGCAAGCCTACAGACCTGCAAGTGTGACTACAAGTTTATGCATCCAAATAAACCTGCTTCTGCTTCTTAAGTTACACGTGCTCAGCTGGTTACAGGAGTGAGAATTTAGTATAGGAAAACATCTTCTCAAGATGCTAGGATGGTGACCCATTTTTAATTGGGTGAAGATATTTAACTTAGGCTGTCTAGCTGGGCCACGTAGGTCAACCACAGTAGGTCCCTCCATTTCATTTTTCAGAGTCATGGGGTTACAGTAGACTTTGAAGCAACAAGGCTTGTAAAGGTTAAAGGTAAGATTGTTCCAACTTGTGCCTATTCTCCAGTGTAGATAAAGGATAAAATGACCGGACCCAAAGGAAACAACAGCCAGGCTCTTCCTGATGAGCACCTGGCTTTGCCTTGCCAATATCACATGGGTTTACCGCATGCACACCGAAACCATATCTCCTGGTGCCACCACAGAGCCCTTGGATTTTTGAACCTTCTGAAGCTTCTCTGTGTTTCCTGGGTGATCACTCTAGCCAAGCACTTGTTTGTTTGTTTTCCAACCCTGAAGCACAAACACGTGCCCTCCTCGATGCCAGTACTGACCAAGGAGATGGTTTATGTGCATCTGGTAAGACAGTAATGGAGCACTCTCCCCCGAGGGCTCGCCAGGCCAACTCGTTGCAGGTAGCGGCATGAATGTGAGTTTCACCAGGAACAGCCTCCTCCATCTTCTTGTCAAGGCAGAGATTACCCCTGAGTGCTGAGCGTCCAACCCATACACCAGAGATCTTACAAATACAAACTGTATTTCCTGTGTTTTCCCAGAAACTGTGCTATTAGCAACTTCACTGGACACTACTACTCTTAAAACTGTAAGACAGAACTCAGGAAAAGGAGATGCTCGGGACCAGACAACTCTTGACGTGTCAAGAGTTTTTGTGTCAGCTAGCGCTGGGCTCCCCAAGCAAGCAGAAAAGCAACAAAAATCCGGTGCCTGAAGACACAAGCCAACATAAATTTCTTCTCATTTTCAGGTCATTTAACATCTTCTAGTAACATTTGCTCTTTTAAGTTAGGTCAATTAAAAAAAAAAAAAAAAAGAAGAAAAAGGAATGATTTTGAGACCAAAAAAAAAAAAAAAGCTTTGAATATGCCTTTTAAAGGAATGTATCCAGAAGGTTGAAATAAGATATTACAACATATTTCAAGATTTTGGTATATTCCCCTCCTATCCATCTTTTTTATGGCTGAGAACGTTTCAGCTCAATTTGTCCAAATCTCTGTATAACTTCAGTTTCCCTGAAAAACCAATTTCCAGCAAATGAATTATTCATTGAGGGTATTTCACTTTATTCCTGGCTCCTCGCCTTCCCTGAAGCATCTAAATCTTTGGGATGGGAGCAGACAACTTTTTCTGC